ATAGAGTTAACCGAAACCCAAGCAACCAGAACTTTCAAGTAACCAGCAAAAACGAAGAAGAAAGAATTACCAATACTGCATCCACAAAGCTGTTTCTCAAATACAGTAAAAAAATGTTACATTAAGTAAAATTTGTCTTAATTTCCTTTAATTGCTGTATTTCAATATTGATACTAAGCCTAGTTTGCGGTATGATATAGTATGGGAGATACAGTATTACGCCTATTGAATTTCAATATTACTATCAATACAGTTTATAATATATATAGTATGGGATATATAGTATTAGACCTACTGTATTTCAATATAACCATCAAGTCAATACAGAGTATATATAGCATGATACAGTATGGGATATACAATATTAGACCTACTGTATTTCAACATTAATATCAAGTCAATACCGAGTTTATAATATGATAGAATGTGGAATATATAGTATTATGCCTACAGTATTTGAATATTAATATCAAGTCACTACAGACTTCATTTCTAAAATGATATAGTATAGCATATATAGTAGGCTTACTGTATTTCAATATTAGTGTCAAGTAATTTCAGAGTTTCTGATATGATATAGTATGAGATACAAGTAATGGTAAAGGTTTCCCCTTGACATTGAATCTAGTCGTGTTCAACTCAGGGAGGTGGTGCTCATCTCAATTTCTAAGAGCTTGTCTGTAGACACCTCCAAGGTCATGTGGACAGAATGACTACTCACATTTGCATGTTTTCGAACCGCTAGGTTGGCAGAAGCTGGGCCTAACACCAGGAGCTCACTCCATCCCACAGATTCGAACCACCAACCTTCCGGTCAGCAAGTTCTGCCACTTAGCGGTTTAACCTGCTGCACCACCATGACCCCATAAAGTATGCTTACTGTATTTCAATATGACTGTCAAGTCAATACAGAGTTTCTGGTATGATATAGTATGAGATATATAGTATTAGGCCTACTGTATTTCAATATTAATATCATGTCAGTTCAGAGTTTCTAGTATGATATAGTATGGGTTATATAGTAGGCTTATTGTATTGCAATATTAGTGTCAACACAGAGTTTATGATATAGTATGGGGATATATCATATTGGGTGTACTGTATTTCAATATTAATATCATATCAGTACAGAGTTTCTAGTGTTATATAGTATGAGATATATAGTAGGCTTACTGTATTTCAATCTATATAAATAAAAATGTAATGTTCGTTTGTGGGACTAGCATAACTCAAAAACCACTAGGTGAATTGACACCAAATTTGGACACAGTACACCTATGAGGCCAACAAGTGACCATCCTCATAAAAACACTGAAAAACACAGCGGAAGAAACTTAAAAAGCCAAAAAAATAATTAAAATACACTACAATGCATGCACATAACCACATTGTTCCCCTTGACATTAAGTCCAGTCGCATCTGACTCGGGGGTGTGGGTGGGCTGTTGGTACTCATCTCAGTTTCTAAGCCCAAGAGCCGGCGTTGATTATAGACACCTTCAAAGTCATGTGGCCAGCATGAATGCATGGAGCACCGTTACCTTCCCGCTGGAGAGGTACCTATTGATCTACTCAAATTTGCATGTTTTCAAATTGCTAGGTTGGCAGAAGCTGGGGCTAATAGCGGGAGCTCATGCTGCTCCCTGGATCGAACCTGTGACCTTTCGGTTAGCAAGTTTAACAGCTCAGTTTAACCCACTGCGCCACTGGGGGCTTCGGCATAACCACATGTGTATTTATGCATAAACACATATACACAAATATATACACACACATATACACACACAAAACACATATACACAGACTGGGCCACAGCAACCCGTGGCAGGGGATGGCTAGTATGAAATATATAGAGTATATAGCATGATAAAATATTTATTTATTTATTTACTTTATTTCTATACCGCTTTTCTCAGCCCTTAGGTGACTCAAAGCGGTTTACATAATACAAATTATCACAAGACAGTATCAAAGCAGATAAAACACATTATACATTCTACATAACAATCACTATCAAAAAACAATCATAGTATATATGAGATATATACTATTAGGCCTACTGTATATAAATATTAATATCAAGTCAATACAGATTTTCTAGTATGATATAGGATGGGATATATTATAGGCTTACTGTATTTCAATATTAGTGTCAAGTTATTTCAGAGTTTATGGTATGATATAGTATGGATATACAATATTAGGCCTATTGTATTTCAATATTAGTATCAAGTCAATACAGAGTTTATAGTATGATAGAATGTGGAATATATAGTATTAAGCTTACTGAATTTGAATATTAATATCAAGTCAATACAGAGTTTATAATATGATATAGTATGATATATATAGCAGACTTACTGTACGTCAATATCAGTGTCAAGCCACTACAGAGTTTATAATATGATATAGTATAGTATATATAGTAAGCTTACTGTACGTCAATATCAGTGTCAAGTCAATACAGAGTTTATAATATGATACAGTATGGTATATATAGTAGGCTTACCGTATGTCAATATCAGTGTCAAGCCAATACAGAGTTTATAATATGATATAGTATGGTATATATAGTAGGCTTACCGTACGTCAATATCAGTGTCAAGCCAATACAGAGTTTATAATATGATATAGTATGGTATATATAGTAGGCTTACCGTACGTCAATATCAGTGTCAAGCCAATACAGAGTTTATAATATGATATAGTATGGTATATATAGTAGGCTTACTGTACGTCAATATCAGTGTCAAGCCAATACAGAGTTTATAATATGATATAGTATGGTATATATAGTAGGCTTACTGTACGTCAATATCAGTGTCAAGTCAATACAGAGTTTATAATATGATACAGTATGGTATATATAGTAGGCTTACCGTATGTCAATATCAGTGTCAAGCCAATACAGAGTTTATAATATGATATAGTATGGTATATATAGTAGGCTTACCGTACGTCAATATCAGTGTCAAGCCAATACAGAGTTTATAATATGATATAGTATGGTATATATAGTAGGCTTACCGTACGTCAATATCAGTGTCAAGCCAATACAGAGTTTATAATATGATATAGTATGGTATATATAGTAGGCTTACCGTACGTCAATATCAGTGTCAAGCCAATACAGAGTTTATAATATGATATAGTATGGTATATATAGTAGGCTTACTGTACGTCAATATCAGTGTCAAGTCAATACAGAGTTTATAATATGATACAGTATGGTATATATAGTAGGCTTACCGTATGTCAATATCAGTGTCAAGCCAATACAGAGTTTATAATATGATATAGTATGGTATATATAGTAGGCTTACTGTACGTCAATATCAGTGTCAAGCCAATACAGAGTTTATAATATGATATAGTATGGTATATATAGTAGGCTTACCGTACGTCAATATCAGTGTCAAGCCAATACAGAGTTTATAATATGATATAGTATGGTATATATAGTAGGCTTACTGTACGTCAATATCAGTGTCAAGCCAATACAGAGTTTATAATATGATACAGTATGGTATATATAGTAGGCTTACCGTATGTCAATATCAGTGTCAAGCCAATACAGAGTTTATAATATGATACAGTATGGTATATATAGTAGGCTTACTGTACGTCAATATCAGTGTCAAGCCAATACAGAGTTTATAATACGATATAGTATGGTATATATCGTAGGCTTACTGTATGTCAATATCAGTGTCAAGCCAATACAGAGTTTATAATATGATATAGTGTGGTATATATAGTAGGCGTACTCTATGTCAATATCAGTGTCAAGTCAATACAGAGCTTATAATATGATATAATATGGTATATATAGCACGCTTACTGTACGTCAATATCAGTGTCAAGCCAATACAGAATTTCTAGTATGATACAGTATGGGGTATAAGATTAGGCCTATTTTTAAGAGGAAATCTTATGCAACCAGAAACTACAATTGTCTGGTAACTATAAATCTACCAATTAACAGAAACTCTGCTCTATATATATATATATATATATATATATATATATATATATATATATATATATATTGAAGGAAACACAACCAAGTGTTGAGCCAGCCTTCCAAACCCCACAAACCAAAATACATCATAGCTCTAAAACAGGCATGGGTAAACTTGGGCCCTCCGGGTATTTTAGACTCCAACTCCCACCATTCCTAACAGCCTGTGGCTGTTAAGAATGGTGGGAGTTGGAGTCCAAAACACCTGGAAAAGGAAGGGGCCTGAGGCTGTGAGGAATGGTGGGAGCTGGAGTCCAAAACACCTGGAGGGCCAAAGTTTGCCCAGGCCTGCTCTAAAACTAAAGGAAGCTAAACTAGGAAAACACTATCAGTTTAAAGAGAGAGAGAAGGAGGGCACTGAAATGGCCAGGGAGTGATGTGCCAAATACAGGTGGATACATGTTGAAGTGCAATTTTGGGAGGGGGGGTGGGCAGGCAAAAGGGGCTGGGCTCAAGCCTTTGTGGTAGAATATTGGTATTCTTATTCCTTGCCAAATAAAGGCACCCAAAAAAAACAAACCAAACAAGAAAAGGCGGGCAAAGGGGAAAGGAGGCGAAGAGGAAGGAGGGAAGGAGGCTGTGCCAAAGAGGGGCACCTTCCCCTCTCTCTTCTCTCTCTCTCAATCTCTCTTTCTGTCTCTCCAAGGGGGATTTGCATGGAGAAAGGTGCCTGAGATCTGGGCACGGGGGTCCTCTTTTGTGCCCAATTTGGGGGGAGAAGAAAGGGAAAGCGAGGGACACCTTTCCCGCTCCACTTCCCGGGAATGCGCCAAGAGGCACACTCCCACTTTGGAGAGAAGGGAAGGAAACCCAGGGACACACTCTATCTTTCCCTCTCCAAAGGGATACATTATACACAGCTTTAGACAAGACACAAGACTGCACAAGGGGAGAGCCGGGCCGCCTCCTGCTTCCCCCAGGCCGGGCGAGGCTGGCTTTATCCCGCTCCGATCCCGCGTTTCCCTTCTCCCTCCTCTCACCTCCTCGATGGCGGCGACGGTGTTCCGGCACTGCGCCATCCGGGTGGTGAAGTTGGAGGCAGTGGGCGCCTTGTAATCCTCATTGGTCTCGGAGACGAATTCCGACACGGAGATCTGGTCCGGCATGGCGGGGCTGGGAAGGAAAGAGAGAGAGAGAGACAGAGAGAGAGAGGGAGGGAAGGAAGGAAAAGAAGGGAAGGGAGAGCGGGGCGGCTCCAGCAAAGGAGGAGGAGGAGGGGAAAACAACGAGAAGAAGAGGCTGGGAAGGAGGAGGAGGAAAACTCACATCGCTCAGCAACCCAAGCGCAAAGGGGTTTAGGATGGTAGTAGTAGTGATAGTGATGGTGAGGATGAGAGGCACACACACACCAGGAAATGCCCTACTTTCGGGAGGAAAAGGGGGAGAAGAAGGAGGGCGATCCAGACACACAGCCCTCCCTTCTCATCCTTATGATCACCACCAGGAGGGAAAAAGAGAGAGAGAGAGAGAGAGATTGTCGAGCAGACAAACACTCCGCCTCCTGGAAGGCGCCCAAAGAGACCCACACTCTGCACACACACACACACACACACACACACACTCTACTACACACACGCCCACCCCACGAGGCGGGGAAAGAGGACACACCTCCCTGGGGAAGGGGGAAAGGAAGGGAAGGGGAAGGTGGGGAAAGGAGAGGGGCTTCTTGGCACAAGGCAAGATGGGGGAGATTCGCCCAGAAAGAGAGGGTGGGAAAAGATCTCTCTCCCTCTGTGTGTGTGTGTGCCTGCTTGTGTATAATTGCACGCTTCTTGTTGTGTGTGGTGCTGTGGAGGAGCTGGTGTTTCCTCTTGCACCCACCTCCATTTTATTCTGGCTGCAGGGAGGGAGGGAGAGGGAAGGAAGGAGGCAAGAAGAGGCGCACTGGCTCTTGGAAAGGGACAGATCTGGGGCTCCCTCAGTCCCTCTCTTCTTTCTCTCTGTGGCCAGGTAATGCAGGGCTGATACTGTGGGTCTCAACCTGTGGGTCTCCAGGTGTTTGGGCCTACAATTCCCAGAAATCCCAGCCAGCTTGTAGGATTTCTGGAAGTTGAAGACCCACAGGTTGAGAACCACAAGGTAAAGGTTTTCCCTGACATTAAGTCCAGTTGTTTGGTGCTCATCTCCATTTCTAAGCCGAAGAGCCGGCGTTCTCCATAGACACCCCCAAGGTCATGTGGCTAGCATGATTGCATGGAGCCCATTACCTTCCTGTGAGAGTGGTACCTATTGATCTATTCACATTTGCATGTTTTCAAGCTGCTAGGTTGGCAGAAGCTGGAGCTAACAGCAGGAGCTTACAATGCTCCCCGGATTCAAACCTGCGACCTTTTGGTCAACAAGTTCAGCAGCTCAGCGATTAAACCCTCTACGCCACCGGCAGCTCCCACTGGTAGACCATATAGTGTAATTCAAATAGCATTATATGGGCCTGACCACATTGTTGTTTATTTGTTCAATTGCTTCTGACTCTTCCTGACCTCCTGGACCAGCCCACACCAGAGCTAACTGTTGGCCATCGCCACTCCCAGCTCCTTCAAGGTCAAGCCAATGTCAAGCCAGGCATGTAGCCGGGGGGGGGGGGGCGGGGGCTTCAGCCCCCCCCCCCGAAATTATCATGGTGGTTCGCGAAAAGGCCTTACTGGTGCATTATTTAAACTGTTATGTTTATTCATATCATGATCTGATCACCATACTCAATATATCCCATATGCATGGGGGTATTGGGGTAATGATACAAAAGGTTTGCTAGGCTAGACCCTCTTTCACTCAGACTCAGCCCCTCCCGAAACTCAGCCCCCCCCCAAACCCCCCCTGAAAAAAATTCAGCCCCCCCCCCCCCGAAACGAAATCCTGGCTACGGGCCTGCTACCATCCATTCATCTAGCCCTTGGTCAGCCCCTCTTCCTTTTTCCTTCCATTTTCCCCAGCATCATTATCTTCTCCAAGCTTTCCTGTCTTCTCATTATGGAGCCCCTGGTGGTACAATGGATTAAACCCTTGCGCCGGCAGGACTGAAGACTGACAGGTCAGAGGTTCAAATCCGGGGAGAGCGCGAAAGAGCTCCCTCTATCAGCTCCATGAGAAGCCTCCCACAAGGATGGTAAAACATCAAAACATCCATGTGTCCCCTGGGCAACATCATTGCAGATGGCCAATTCTCTCACACCAGAAGTGACTTGCAGTTTCTCAGGTCACTCCTGGCACACACAAAAATGTGGCCAAAGTACTTCATCTTTGCTTCTAATATCCTTCCCTCCAGTGAGCAGTTGGGCTTTATTTCCTGGAGTATGGACTGGTTGGGTCTTCTCGAAGTCCAAGGCACTCTCAGGATTTTTCTCCAACATCACAGTTCAAAAGTGTCTATCTTCCTTTGCTCAGTTTCCTTATAGTCCAGCTCTCGCATCCATAGGTTACTACGGGAATACCATTGCTTTAACTATGTGGACCTTTGTTGCCAATGTGATGTCTCTACTCTTCGCTATTTTATCAAGATTGGTCATTGATCTCCTCCCAAGAAGTAAACAACCATATAATGCAGTTCAAGCTGTATTACTGGCAGTGTAGATCCAACTTGTCTCCCTCTCTCACACAGTCCATTCCCCAATCTCTCTTTTGCACACAAACACACCCCTGGCATGCCCTCTGTCCACCCTGACAGTGATGGGAATCAGCAACCCAACCTTGGCTAAGGCTTGAGGAGGCTCCAATGGGTTCTTCTCCTCTGAAGCTCACTCTCAATGACCTTGGCGGCTTCCAACTGCAGACACTGCCCCACTCTCGGCTAGCCAGCACCAATAGGCATTGCCAGATTTGCTGTTGTGCTGAGGTGTGCTTAAGCACAGGGCACCATTGGCCAGGGGAAACTATCTTCAATGAGAGGGGATGGGATACAAATAAAGCTGCTGGTGCCGCCGCCTCTTCTTCTTCTTCCTCCTCCTCCTCTTCTTCTTCTCTTCCTGCCCCCCAAAAATATTTACAGTGGCTTTTGCTTATGTGGTGCAATTCTAAATTTGAAGGTGTTCTGTTTTGACGCGATTCCAGACTTGGGAACTCCTCACATTGATGGTGTGGGGGACAGTGGGGAGACCCATTGGGCAGAGGGGCGAATCTGTCACCCAGCACCTCACATCACCCACACCATCCGCTTGCCCATCACATGCCGGAAAGCAAATTTGGTCTTTGGACTGTAATAAGGATTGATTGATTGATTGATTCCTTTCTGGCGTGCTCCCACATTGTCCCCATGATTCCCAATGTGACCACAAGTAGTCTCGTGTGTTCAGATTTCTCCCTTCTACCACACTTCACCAGTGCAGCCAGCATGGAGCCCCAGTGGAAGTAGATGTGCTTCATTTGACTAGCTCCGGTGAGCTCCATGCTGGTTGCATCGGCAAACTGTGGTAGGATGGCAAATTTTAGTAATGTGATGTTTTTGGGAAATGCCATCCATAAACTTTTGGAAAAACCAGGAATCTCACTTCTTTCCACGAATCCAGGTGAATGGATTTTCATCTACCGTACTTTTACAACACCACCCTTGCAGCTTTCATATGGTTGCCGCATATGGCAGGGATGCAGCCGCAGCCATTTTTTAATTTCCCCCATCATATGTGGCGATCGCAGGTTCTCCAGTCCGGTTCAGAAGTTTCAGCACGCTTCTTATAAGACAACACCAGGCCTATAATATGACCCTCGACTTTTGAGAAGATTTTTCTGGGTTAAAAAGTAACCTTATATGCCAGAAAATACAGTAATTTAAATTTACATCTCTGCTAAAAACAATTTTATTTTAATTTTTATTTAAAGTATCATTTCTTCCGTTGTTTTGGCCGTTATTAGACTTCCTGTTAATTGAGGGTGTACTGTACAGACAAAAACTGGACATATGGCAAAGGGTTTCTTTATTAACTCCAAGCAGCTGGGTTTCCCTCCCCACCATCAAAAAGCCCAGATTGGTATTGTCCATTTTCTACACTCTCACACACACTCTTTCAGAAAACGAAGGGGCATATTCACAGTGCCATTGTTTTGCTTTCCACCAGAACCAGATTTGTGAAGCTGGCAGAATGTGATTGCACATTCGAAACCAGAACATCCCTACCCCTCTTTTCAAGGAAATTGCATTACAGCATACAGTAGACTCCAAGTTAACCGGCACTTCTGGGGATTAGTAGATGGCGAATAAACACAGTTTTTGGTTGCTTGTGCGTTACACAAGTGACACTATTCCCCATACTATAACATGATATAAAATCTGGTATTAATATTGAAGTGCAGTAATTAGAAGTGATAATGACGAATAAAGACAAAAATTAATTTAATTCACAGTTTTTCTACTAGTAAGTATGATTTCTTTTGAGTTTTTTGCCACTTTCTTGAGAGTTCTCACTCCTTGAGTTCTGGTTAACTGAGAATCTACTATACATACAAAAACTGGACACATGGCAAGGGTTTCTTTACTGCAACGCACAGCTGGGAGCCATCATTATCAAAAGAATAATTTTGTAGTCCCTCTTCTCAAGGAAAATCCATAAGGAGCCATTCAATTTTTTTCCCATCCATCAGAACCAGGTAAAGCTGATGGCACTTGATTGTTCATACATGATCAGGACGCCAGCACCCTGAGGAATGGTCAATACAGCATATATTACACAATATATTGGGTTTGGGAAAACATGTTTCTTCCCTTGCTTTAGCTAATATGAAGACTGCAAGCCAGTTTATTGAAAACAGGATACTTTGAAACGATGATGTTGTTGCCGTGACAAAAACTGGATGTATGTATTTCAGGTTGTATGGCCATGTTCCAGTAGCAATGGCCATAGCCCGTAAAACTCACAGCAACACAGTCATTCCAACCATGAAAGCCTTCGACAACACAATGATGTGGTTTCTGCTAATTATAAAGCGGCTGAGGCCTCTTCCACACTGCCATATAATACAGATTATCAAAGCAGATTATTCACATTATCTGCTTTGAACCGGATTATATTAATCTGTACTGCCATATAATCCAATTCAAAGCAGACAGTCTGGATTAATATATGGCAGTGTAGAAGGGTCCTGGAATTTCAGGAGTCACTGCAGCACTGAAAGTCATAGAATCATAGAATCTTAGAGTTGGAAGGGTCCACAAAGGACATTTAGTCCAACCCCATGAGATGCTTCTGATAGACTGCCATCCAGCTTCTGCTTATAAAGGAGACTCCTCCACCACATGCCAAGGCTGCATTTTCCACTGCCAAACAGCTTGATAAAGCAGGAAGTTCTTCCTAGTGTTTACGTGAAATCTCATTCCCTGCAGTTTGAATCCATTCTCCATATCCCACTCCCTAAACCACTTCACTTGTTCCCTTCCACACAGCTGAATAAAACCCCACATTATCTGCTTTGATGATCGTGTGGAAAACCCAGTTCAAAGCAGATATTGTGGGATTTTCTTCCTTGATATTCTGGAATATAGGGCTGTGGAAGGGCCCTTGGTGCTTGGCTTCCAGACCTTTTACTATTTTGGTTGCCCTTATTTGTGCA